CCTTCCCTCCTTCCGTCCTTCTCTCCCTCCCTCCCTCCCTCCCTCCTTCCTTCCTTCCTTCCTTCCATCTTTGCCTTCCTTCTCCTTCCTTTCTTCCTCTACTTTATACTCCCCTTGCTTCACCCCATTCAGTTTTCAAAGTGCTGACTGTTACTCAGAATCCACCTGCAGTGATGAGTGAGAACTGAGCTTAGACGCACTAAAGCACTAAGCTCCAGCTCTGCCACTATGATGCAAGTTAACTTCCTTTGACCTTTCTGAATTCATTTCCTTTGACCACTTCTGTGAATCATCCTAAACAAATATGCCTACATGTGAAAAATTCTTGCAAGCAAAAATATCCATTTGAATCCTGTTTATAATGGGAAACATGTAATACAAAAGTTAGAAATAGGTTATGTAATTTTACTTCAGACACAGTACTTGGAGCAACTGAGTGGGAACTGACCTGGCCCAGAAAATAATCTTTATTGATACAGTAATAGCATTTTGATCTTGGGAGTCATCAACAGCTGGCTAACTGGACTTAAGGCCCACTCAGTGGGAGGGAACTAATTTGTGGTGCTGTAAACATAGCAAGTACACATGGTTGGAGATGTCATAGACCCTAGAGAAAAACCTACTTCTGTCAATTCCCTAGACCAATATAATTTCTTACTGTTTTTTAAATGCATAACCTTATATTTACAGAAAAATGTACCTCTCACCACTCATCAGAGAAGCTTCTTCTGCTACAGATGGAGTCTACTGCAAAGTTCTACAACTGGTCAAACACAGAGAATAAATATCTGTGAGGTGCCCAGCCCTAAATGACATATCTATAATGCAACCTCTACACCCAAGACTCAGGAACATCATGGAAGAAGGGATGGAAAGACTGTAAGAGGCAGAGGAACAAGATATTTACTGGTAGTTAATGCATTCTAGACATGATAGAGAAGCTGCACCAATTAAATCTCCACAGTATGGTAATCTAACAATATCTATATAATGATAAAACCAGTTGACGTACATACAAAAAGTGAATGGGGGAAATGTCATGGGATCCTACCTGAAGATGAAGTGCTACGGTTAATCAATGGATGTTGAGGGAGGAAGAATCAGTTTTCTTCAGGAACTAGATTCCTGGAGAGGTTATCTAAATCCCAAATGGGCAGTCCTAAACACAGACACACATGAGCACCACTGAATGGCCTCAGTGCATTATATATATACATATATATATATAATGTATGTGTATGAGTTTATGTATGACTATGTAACAATTATCAAAGAAGAGAACAAGAAATTGAGAGGGAGTGGGGGGACATGGGAGGAGTTAGAGGGGGACTGGAAGGGGTGGAAATAATGTAAAGACTACTCATATGATATTTACAAAAATTAAAATAAATAAATAAAAGAATAGAATTAGTTGTGTAATTTATGGCACAGCCACTTGACCTCCATGAACAATGGGTTTCAAAGAAAATGGAACAATACAGAAAAAAAATAACATAAATTTAAACAAAAAGATGTGGGACACACAGTTACATAATTACGACATTTTGTTTTTGAGATGGGGCTCTCATATCCCAGGTTAGCCCTAAACTTGTTATGTAGCCAAAGATGGTCTTAAACTTGAACTTCTTGTCCTCCCACCTATACCTCCCAAGTCCTGGGATTACAAGAATGCACCACCACACCAGTTTATGCTGAGCTACGTCCTTTGTATTATTATAAATTTTTAAATAGTTCTTCATTAAAAGAAATGGAAGAGGCAGTATGGGATGGAAGACATGTTCAAAGTACATTATATTCCTGTATGAAAATGTCCTTATGTAGCCTAGTACCATAAACAATGAATTTATGCCGATGGGGAAAATTTGAATAAATGAATAAATAAATGGAATGGGAGTAAAGCAAATTGGCTGATAGTGTCTTGGTCTAGGTAGTAGGACTATAAGATATGTTTTAAAAGCTCAATGTTCCTTTATATAGTTCTTATTTTTTATGAATTTATAAACTTTATTTATTATTTTTACATATGACTGTTTTGTTTGCATATATATAAATGCGCACATGCATACGAATCTGTGGCGGCCAGAAGAGAGTATCATAAGAGGGTACCAGAAGAAGGTTTTGGATCTCCCTAGAACTATAGTTATAGACGGTTGTTAGCCACCATATGGGTGCTGGGAACTGAATCCAGGTCCTCTGCAAGAGCAACCTGTGCTCTTAACCACTGAACCATCTCTCCAGTCCCCCAAATTGGTGTGGTTTTGTTGATATTGTTGTTGTTTTGAGACAGGTTTCCCTGTAGCCCCAGTTAGCCTGGAACTTAGTATGTACATGAGATTGGCCTTGATCTCACAGAGATATACTTCCTTTGCCTCCTGAGTGCTGAGATTAAAGGAGTGCACCACCACACTCAGCTTATTTCCTAATTTTAAGTAATGAGTAAGAATGACTTTTACAACTTATAAATAAGATAAAACAAATAACACAGAAATACAATTTTCCCACAAGTATTCCATAAACCATTTTCTCATGAAATATTTCTTATGAAATAACAAAAATCAAAATGCAAAATATTGACCAATGGTTATTTTCAAGAAAGAATAATAGAGTATTGTCAGATTTGAATTCTTTTATGAGTTAATAAAATGAGAATTGGTGAGATTCAACAATAAATGTGGATGCTAAGTTGTAAACCGAATCTGTTAAGACATAATGAATTCTGAATAGCAAACAGTATCATCAATAAAATTGTATTTATCTCCAGGGACCAGAGCAGCCAAGTCATGGTGTTTGCACTGGATTTGGTTTGGGAACCTTCATGTCTTGTTGGGGTGGAAATGATTGCTCATGATTCTCATATTCTAAATTGTCTCTAACAATTAGAGTGTTTTTGGTTCCTCTTGGGACCTCTGGCTAGTCTCTAGCCAAAGGGGTAAAGTTTATTTTATGGAAAATAAGAAAAAAATAGCAGAGGAAAGTTAGAAATATTTTTTACCTTTACATCCCCAAACATTGCTGGTAGGTTATGTGTTTTTGTTCCTAAATCCAAGTGATAGAGAATATCTTCATCCAAAGCATCCAGGTAAGGATTCTTAATGTAGACAAACCTTTTTCTGGGGGAAAATGTATACAAAGAGGTTATAAAGGTATTTGAACAGAAAGAAAACAAAAGAGAAAGGATATCAAGTTACACCTATAATTACCACTAACATAGCTATTGGACACAAACCTTTTAAAGTTAAATGTGGTATAATAATAGCTAATATTTGCTGCACAATTACTATGTGCCAGACCTAGAACTAAGCATGAAAAATGTATCATGGCATGAAACTAAATAAAATAAATATATTAACTCACTTAGTCCCATAACCACTCCATTGAAGAACCTTAATGCTCTAACGTACAAATGAAGATATCAAGACATAGAAATTAAGCACTACCAAACAGTAAATCTGCAGTCATCTCTCATCAGTTTATTCTGTCCCTTATTCTCTTTCTGTCATTGTAAGGCTGCATGATAAAACTATTGGGCTCTGGAGTCAGGTTGCCTGGGTTCTAGTACCAGTTCAACCAGATATTCAGATATAGACTTATTGTGCAACCATGAGTAAGTCAGCTTTGTCCTATCGTTTCCTGTTTGTGAAATGGGAATGCTGAAAACTGATGCTTTATAAGTTTGTGAGCCCTGAATTACAGAATATTTGCATCACTGGAATGTAGCACTTTCCTGGATACATGAAGCACTAAGCTTAATCCCCAGCACCATACACATAGCTTTTGCCTTTTGGTAATAGTTGTAACAAACCTTGTGTGCAGTGAATAGAGTAAGCAACTCTCAATATTTTATTCCCAAATGTTTGAGGTTTTCTTGAGATCAAACAGAAAAGGCAGTATGGCAAAAAGTGCCATGTGTTTGTGAAATCCCAATTCTTTCTTCCTATTGAGCATATTGCAGGCTGAATTTGCAGTAAGATGAAGTCATATGACTGAGTTCTGCCCAAGGGGATGTGGAAGTGACTTGTCTACTTTTAACACCTGGCTCTGGGGTAGGCTCTCTCTATAGCCATAGGAAGTGGACATCCTCTTTACCCCATCAACCTGGTTTGGACTGGGCAAGAATCTACCCAGTCCTTAAGCAGTATTCAAGTCTGACCACTGAGAGGCAGCTAGCTGTGGTCATTATGCTTGGAAATGAGCCATGCCCCATTAGAAGGTTTAGGTGAGAGATAAATGTCACAGGATGGTGGGGTGGAGGCAGAGAGATGAACAGACTCCAGGCAAAAAATAAGTTGGGATATAGCAGGGACAAAGAAAGAAAGACTAGGTGAAAATCTGGAGAAATAAGAGTTAGGTGATCAAGAAAAGAGAAGTTTTAGATAAAGCCTGAAGGAGATGGTGGCTAAGAAGCTTGAAGGAATGACAAAGGGGGAGATCTAATCCTAATAAACGCCTGAAACAAAAATTGCAAAACTATGGTCATAAGGAACATGAAACTTAGAATCAGAAGGTAAGATAAGAAGGAACTTTTACCCCGGTGGTACAATCCTTTAATCCCAGTACTCCAGAGGCAGAGGCAGGCAGTTCTCTATGAGTTCGATGTCAGCCTGATGTGCATAGTGAGTTCCAGGTCAGTCAGGACTACACAGTGAGACCCTGCCTCAGAAAAAAAAAAGAAAAGAAAGAAAGGAAGGAAGGAAGAAAGGAAGGAAGGAAGGAAGGAAAGAAGGAAGGAAGGGAAGGAAGGAAGGAAGGAAGGAAGGGGAAGGGAAGAAGGAAGGAAGGAAGGAGGGAAGGAAGGAAGGAAGGAAGGAAGGAAGGAAGGGAAGGAAGGAAGGAAGAAAGGAAAAAAGAAAGAAAGAAAAGGAAAAAAGAAAAAAAGAAGAAGGGCCCTTTAGTGTAGGAACTTTGTCAGTAGCATTCTTCCAGTGTCACCAGAAGAGTATGGAACAAAATACAAAGGAGCCAATGGAAAGATAAACTGTCCAAAAAAGAGAAGAACATGGTTGGGTTCCTGGAAGCTCTGCTTGGTATCAGCCCATCACTATTATGCAGGATGTCTCAGTGGCTATTCATTCACTCCTTCTCATCCTGCTACATCCCAGTCAAGGTTTGACCACAGTACCCATCCTAACCATGTGTGACTGCCATGCCCCTTCTCCTTCCCCCACTGCATCCCACACAGGCCAGCTCCCACAGCAACCTCCCATATGCTTCACTGAGGTGACATCATTCTCCACCCTCTTCACACTTCTTATTCTCCTTCTCAATCTCCCTGGTGTGTGTGTGTGTGTGTGTGTGTGTGTGTGTGTGTGTGTGTGTGTGCAATTATCTCACTGGTCTGTGTAACACATTTTGAGTAGCACTGCCTTCAGGGTTCCTACCAACCATCCTGAATACATGATCCCCTTTTCTACCTAAGGCCCCTGCCCAGGCCCAGCCCCATCACAACAGTCCTAATGGTGCCACCAATTCTCCTTCTCTTGTTTGGCAAATCTATGGAGTGCAAGTCAGTGAGCTCTTACTATAGAAGAGACCTTAACTCAATGTAATTTATATTCGCAGAGCATAGGCCTCACAGCCTTTTATTATTTGGGGTTACACTAATATGCTACTTTAGTCGTTAATGATAACAAATTATCTGTTCCATACTACAGTGGGTCAAGACATCTTTGCTAAGATTCATCTGGAAAATTTTTCACCCTTTTCCTCCCATTTCCTTCCAAATACTTTAACCTTCTTAATGACCTCATTACCTTGTATACCCCCAGTGACTCTCATCTTGGTTATGCCTTAAAATTGCTAAGGAGATTTAAAAAATTGATGAATGGCCCCAAATTAATTTTGATTCTCAGAAAGTATTTTTTAAATCTTTCCCTGATGTGCAGACAAAGCCTAGAATTCCTTCAATGAGCCTTTATTCCTGAAATATCATTTCTCTTTCCCTTCCCTTTTTTTAACCTATCAAAAGCCTACTCATTCTTTAAATCCAACTCAAATATCAGGTCTTCCATGAAGGTATTCTAAGCAGTTTCAATAACTAATCAATAGTTTTTCCTCATTATGCTCTTAAAGCATCTGTTTCATGATGATGAGGTTAAAACAGTTAATTTTCTGTCTCCTCAGAAAGATTGTAAATTCCTTGATGCAAGCTGTCCAATACATCTTTCTTTAATCTCTAAGTCTTAACAAATCCTATTTTCTAACCTAAATTTAACTGTTCAGAAAGTGAAACGAAATACTATTAGTTTCCTCTTCACAAACATCAGAAGTAACGAATTCTTAATTGGTTAGTGAGTCATGCCTTGCTTGAAAAAAAATGCTTATTCCATGCTGTGGCTACTCTTTCCCTGTTTCAGAACAAGCCTCAAATCCCAAAGTGGAAGGACAACCCCTTGTTCCTCCTAGGAGGGGCTCCCCACTGTCCTGCAGCAAAGTGTGCTCAGTGAAGCTGTAGAGCCATGGCGGCTGGCCCAGGAAGCTCATTAAGAAGGCAAAAATCTCATTTCTACCCTAGAACTACTGAATCAAAACCTGCATTTTAATAAACCCTAGAAATTCATATGCACATTAAAGTTTGAGAAACACTGCCATACACTTCCTCTTCCAAGTCAATTTCACTTTTTATTTCACTCTGCCAGAGTTATTTTCATGATCTGGATTTTCCTGTGGATTTTCAACTGAATATACAAACCATAACACTACAAAGCACACACATTCATCTCCAGTGACTCTTAGCTCTAAACTGCCTATCAGAATGGCTAAGGGAAATTTAAGGAGTACTGACATCTAATGTTTATGGTCAATGGAAAGACTAGGATGATCAGTTTGTCAGAGATGAGGAAAAGGCTTCTTGCTCATATGGGATCTTCTCTGGTTCCATACAAATTTTAGGACTGTTCTATTTCTAGGAAAAAGGGCATTACACCCTTGGCTGGAATTGTATTGAATCTGTAGACCTCTTTGGGTAGTATGGAAGTTTCAACAGTATCAAGCCCTCTTGCTAACAAACATGAGTTATCTTTTTATGTTTTTATTTCACCTCCATGACTATGTTTTTTATTCCTTGGCTTTTTTATTCTGCTGTAATTAGGATTGTTTTATTAATTTCTATTTCAGATAGTTTGCTGTTAGTATATAGTATATAGAAACACTATGGATCTTTGTTCATTTGTAACCTGCAACTTTATTGGATTAATAGTTCTATCGTGTGTGTGTGTGTGTGTGTGTGTGTGTGTGTGTGTGTGTATGTGTGTGTGTGATGATATCTTGGTGTCTTTTAAAGAACAAAGATAGAGACATCACAATCCTTGGGTGCAAATACAAAGCTATTGCAGGGCTGCATGGGGTAGTGTACTCTTTTAATGTAGCTAAACTCTAAATATTGGAATCACCAGAGGGCCTTAAAGAGCTGATATCTCAGTCCCTTCTTGGGATTTCTGATTTAATTGGTCAAGGAGACCTGTGCTTTGATGTTTTAAAAATTACTGGTCTCCACCTTCCTATCTTCAAAAAGAAAATCTCAAACCAGCATAATCATTAACTATATTACCTTGATAATAGTCATTATAGTACTCCTTTGACACATTTGGAGATATTCTTTAGATTTCCTTGATATCTGACAGTTCATTTAAGAGGCTGAGATGGCACTATCTTAAGTTCGGGCCAAGCTTGGACTCTATAGAAAGTTTCAAGCTAGCCTGTGCCAAATAGTGAAACCCTAGCTTAAAAATAGCAACAAAACAAAACAAAACCCAACTGTGATTGTAATCAAAACAGTATGGTACCAGCATAAAAATAGGCACATCCATCAATGAAACAAGATAAGAAGACCAGAGATAAACCCAGTTTTTAATGGATAGTTGAAGTTTGAAGGTGCCAACAACACACAATGAAGAAAGGACAGTCTTTTCAGTAAACAGTGTTGAGAAAACTTGATATCCACATGCAAAAGGATGAAACTGGAATGTCTCACACCAGGTACAAAAATCAACAGACCTGAAGCTGTAGAAGTCTATAGAGAAAAGCTCTACCATATTGGTTTAGATAATGATTGCTTAGCGAAAACTCCAAGGAAGAGCCAATAAAATAATATTAAAGATAAATAAGGTTGTATCAAACTAAAATCTCCTGAATAGCAAAGGAAAAAACCATGGAACAAAAAGACAACCTATGAGTTGGGAGAAAATATGTGTAAACCATATATCTGCACAAGGCAATGAGATGTCTCTTTACATGTGTTCGAATAGTTATTATCAAAGAGCACAGATAATAAATGTTGGCAAGATTCTGGAGACAAAAGAACCTTGTATGCTATTGGTGGGAACATAAATTAATATGGCTGTAAAAATAGTATGAAGTGTTCCCCAAAAAACTAAAAATAAAATTAAAATCTCACTTCTTCTATATACAAAGAAATTGAAATATTGGGTCAAGGTGATGTCTGCACTCCCATGGTCACTACAGCACTATGCACAATCACCAAATTACAAAATCAACTTAAGAGCTGATGAGTGGTTGGGCTGGAGAGATGGCTCAGTAGTTAAGAGCATTGGTTGTTCTTGCAGAGGACCCAGGCTCAATTCCCAGCACTCACATAGCAGCTAACAAAAGTCGATGACTATAGTTCCATGGGAATCTGATGCCTTCTTCTGATCTCCTCGAGTATTGCATGACATGGGTGCACTTACATATATGCATGCAATACAGTCATACATATAAAATAAAAATAATAAATAATAAAGACTTGATGGACAGAGAAAAACCCAAAACAGAATACTATTCAGACTTCATTACAATTGTATATTTATTTATCTTTTTTTTTTTTTTTTTTTTTTTTTTTTGTGTGTGTGGGTGTGTGTGTGTGTGTGTGTGTGTGTGTGTGTGTTGTTCATATGCTTGCTGAGGTAAGAGGACAACTTACAAAAGTTGGCTCTCTCCTTCCACCATGTGGGTCTTGGGGATCAAACTCAAGTTGTCAGGCTTGGTGGCAGCACTTTCATCCACTGAGCCGTCTTGCCCTCAGACTTTATAAAGAAGAAAATTCTGTCATTTGTGTCATGAGTGGAGGTAGAAGACAGTATGCCAAGTGTAGCATCAGCAAAACAAACACAATGCCCTCTCTCTTCTGTGTGGAATCTGAAAACTTTGATCTCACAAAGAGACAAGAATGGTGATTATCAAAGGCTGGGGGCGCGGGGAGGTGTGAGAAAGCAATGATCAAAGGTAGCAGAGCCTTGGTTAGATTGAAGGAATAAGTTTAATGATCTACTGCACTGTGTGGTAACCACAGTTACTAAAAGTATATCTTTCAAAATTGCTTTAAAATAGATGTTTTAACATTCTCACTACCAAACACTGAGAAATTGGTGAGATGATATATATGTCAGCTAGATAGCTTGAATTTTTCTATAATACATGCATAGGTCAAAGCTTCCCTTTGGGCTGAGGATGTAGCTCAGTGTGGTAGGGTGATTGTCTAGCATGCGTGAAGCCCTGAGTTCAATCCTAATACTGCAGAAACAAAACAAAAGAAAATGTCATATGTGCCCCTTAAATAGATGACAATTATCATTTTTCAACTAAAAACAAATGATGTTTAAAAATTGTTTAAGGAAAGACTTGCTTGAGGTTTTATCCAAAATTTAAGCCAGCATGAATCTGCTCTTCCTAATACTTTGATCTGTCTAAAATATGCTACTAAATAGACATGCACATATTGTTTCCTCCTCAAAAAATTTTTCCTTAACTCATAGGCTAAATATTGGTCACCAAAGAAAAGTGCTGGGTGGGAAGAAGTTCCTCCTTTTCCTTTCCCTTCATCTGCATTTTTTTTCTCTCTCCCATAGTTCCCTGGCAGAACGAAGGTGGCAGGCTGTGTGTTTGGGCCAAGGAAGTGGAGCACTTCCTGAAAGGGTGACATCATGATAAGTCATTTCCCACAAATCTTAGCAAATCAGAAGCAATACACAAAAATTCCTTAAGCTTCATGAAGATTAATACTCTATTATTTGCTGTTAACCTGGGGCACAAATTGCAGTTAAATTTGCAAGCAGCTTGGGTAGATTTATGCCTGCCTTTGAAATGAATAACATTCATGGTCTTTCAGAAATGAACTCTATGTAAAGTCCATTACAAAGCATACAAAATTGCTTCATAACACGTGAGTCATAAACTTCCCCAGGCACTGGAGGGCCCTTTAATTATTTCTCAGGTACAGCCCATGGTCCTAGTGTTAGGGTCCGTGACTCGATGGGTCCCCTCCAGATAACAAATACACGGGATTGGAGATGTAAAAATCAAGCAGAGTCTTTACTTTCCAGCCGGCTGGGGTCGACCGGTTTCCCAAGACATGCAAGTCTGGTCAGAACGATCGACCCCCATTCAGTTTCAGATACAGATTATATAGGCCCACATAGTCATTACACAAAAAAGCATTCCTCAGCAGACACTTTGATCAAACATCTTCTAAAAGCTATAGTTTCGGTTAAACATCTTTTCCAGGAAGGCTAGATCTGGTGTAAGCCTGGTGCAACTTCCTTCTCTTTGTTCCTTATCGGTTATCTGGTATGTGCAAACAGGCCTACAGGACACATTGTAAATCAACTAAGTCTGGGGTCCAGGGTCCAGGGTCCAGGAAGGAGGTTTACAGCACTTCAATTCTTAGCATTTCAACTAGGTTAATCATCCATGTGTGGTAGATACAAATCAGGCAGAACAGGCAAGCTTAGCAAGTAAATCTAAATCAACATTTTAAACAGAGTTTTCTATCAAAATGCAGAGTTCTTACAGCATTCATCAAGGTATTTCATTTTTTTTCCCAACATTCCCCCCCTTGTCTTGGTAAAACTGAGGAATCTTCCTCAGCCGACTCTACAACCTGGTGCTTCTGCCGCAGCACCAAGAGATGAACCGAGTCTATTCTTTCTTGGACAAACCTCAGCAGTCTGTTTACTATACAGGGCCCAATCGTGACAAGCAAGAGAAGGATAATTAAGGGCCCTGCAACAGCGGAGAGAAGGGTTGACACCCAAGGAGTTTGATTAAGCCAAGAGCTGAACCACCCTTGACTGGCTTCCCTTTCCATCTTTCGTTTCTCTAATCCCTCTCGTATCTTTGCCATGTTATCCTTTATTATACCTGAATGGTCTCTGTAAAAACAACATTCCTCCTTCAGGGCAA